CTCAACCTGCCTTTATTTGGGACAGGCCTTTAATTCCTTTTGCATAAAACTCTTAGTCAACAAAGCAATATTACTTTTGGCTATTGAATAACATTTCGGTTACAAATCAGCCAATATTTTGGTTTCCTTAAAATTAACTGAAGGATTTTATTGTGGAGAATCTCACTGATCTAATGATGTACAGCATGTCCATACTGACAGTTTAAACATTTATATTTGTGTAGGCGATCTAAGCAGCTTAGAACTCGCTCAAGCAGGCGACCTGGTGTTCTTTAAGAGGTTTTATACATCCAAAGAACATCTATAAAATCCAGACCAGGCCTCTAATCTAGACCTTTATTTGTCAAAACCTGTATCTATACCAGGCTAATAAAGGGGACCTGCTTCTAATTGGAACCCTGCTTTTAATTGATGTTTTGTGGTAATCAATAAAACTCAATTTTATATCCAAGATCTACATATATTTAGAAAAAAAAGTATATAGAATAAAACAGAATCTTTGTTAATATCAGAGCAGATCATCAGCATTCATCCATCAGTTATCACAAGTTATCCTTTAGAGCAGAAACTATCCAAACAGTCTCAGAACCCAAGATGGCATGCAGAACTGTTTTTCATTGGGTCCCCCCTTGGGAGAGTAAAATGCCTAACAATGTTATGATATGTAAATACATTTTTCTAATTAAAACAGAGAGAATATTTCTCTTCTATTTGAATTAGGAAAAGGAAATTAGAGGGCTATGCAAGTACTCATTGAGCTGGTGTTACATCTAGTAACTACTATTTCCACTACCTATTGCTACTTACTAATTATATCATCTTGTTCAATTCCATTTAATTTATTTTGCACTTTAAATTGACATTCCAATGCAATCAAAAGCTTTCTCCTTATTCTTATTTGCACAGTGAATCAGTGTTTGTCAGATCCAAACATTACTATCCATGTGCCTATTAATAATAAATATACCCTGTTTGATCAATATGAAATCAGCTGGCATGGACTCCTGTACCTTTTTGTGAAGAATCCTGGGGGCACTGTTTTCAATTTACTATAAATGTCATGAATAGAGGGGAGAGAGGTCCCAATAATGGACATCCTCTGTTAGTGTGTGCTATAGAGAAGGTTGTGGTATTTTCAAATATACTAAGTGATGGGAAACATTTTAATAATGTTTGAGTTCAAAATATTGAACTTATATTGCCTGTTCATCCTCGAAGGAGACGGACTGTGGTCAGCTTACATCTGTTGCCTAAAATGGGTTCTAATAGTGGTTTTTATAGCAAGAAAGACTTTTTAAACCTACAGCATCATCTACTTCTTCTCTGTCGCTCCTTATGAGTGAGTATTAGCATGTCCCAAACATGAAAAATAGTAAGCAGCTCAACCCAGCAGCTCTGAAAAAAAAAGAAGAATATCTGGGGTTTTCTAAGCAGGCATCAGTATGCAGATTGTTTCTCAGCAGTCTAAAGAGGTCTGTTTTCCTTGATGCATTTATTTTGCTGAATTACTAGGCCAAGCTTAAAGTCTCCTCGCTGTAGTCAGTGTGGTTTTTCTTTACAGTTCTGGCTGTTACTAATATCAAGTTGTTTTTCGAAGCACCTATAATGAGATCATCCTTATCAAGCCTCCGTTTTCAGAACACTATGAATCCCAGAAGTGTGTATTCAGAGTCTCATCATAATAGACAAAGTGTGAAATATGGTTTTACCCCAAAAAAACCCAGAGGCACTTGCAATCCCCTTCTGAAAGTTAAATACCCACAGAGGTGTCAGCCAGTCCAACCATCCCCTACATCAGAAGCTCAGCCTGATTCAGACAATGACACAATAAGTCAGGTAATTACTGTACAAACTGCTCTTTCCTGGACGTTCCAAAACCCCTCAGAACAATTGGAGCACTGACCTATATATGTTGTGTGTGTGCGCGCAGGTGAGAGGAGGACGGTGGTTTCCTGTATGAGGATAGCCAATAAAACTATGGAGGTGGTCAACAGTAGCTACTGTCAACCGGAGAACCGACCACACCCCCAAGTACGACCCTGCAACTCTCACCCCTGCCAGTACCGGTGAGACACAAACCCACACACATTTTGTAGCTGCTGGTTTCTTGTAGACTTCAGTTAAACGGTCATAAGACAGATGTGGCAATTAAAAAAAATTGGAGAATAAGGATCATTCTCTAAAACTAAGATTAATACATTTTTCCTTTAATTGAACCATGTTAGATTACATCTGATCACAAGTATGCATTGAAACTGATTTGATTTTTAGACCCCCTTCAGTAATTTCTTGTTCGGCGGTTTTTATTTTTATATAATTTTTTAAAGCACACATTCTTGCCATTTTGCTACCCATATGAGTCTATATGTCTATATGTATATCATTGTACAGGAATGGCTGTGTTTGAAGGCTTGAGGTCTTTGAAGCTGTCTTTCCACCAAATTAGCTCTGGATAGTGTTATCTAGCTTCCACCAGTTATAAGCGGAACCACTGCATCATCAACAGAGGGCGCTGGCCAATGCACAACGACCTGTAGAATATGCCACACCCACTTTGGTTCCAGCGGAAAACCTACTTTCGAACCGTTTGGTGCATTTCGACCAAAAATAAATTGGTCCAGAACCTGAAAAGTTGGTTCCCAGCTGGAACCAAAAAATAGCAGGTTTGCACTCAGTTGATGATGCATCTGGTTACTATGGTTTCGCTCAAAACTTGTGGAAACATGGGCTGGTTCACTAGATAGCATCAAGGTTCCAACAATATTGAATAGAACTGGTTCAAGAACCAGAGCTAATTTGGTGGGAAAAACACAGTGGAATGCTTTTCCAGATTTGGGCTTTATTATTTTAGAGGCTTATGGCATAATCGCAGTATGTCTTAGGTAGTCATGCCACATGTCATTATTCTCAGAATAAGTGGTGTAAAATAACAGTTCCTCCTCTATACGTTTATGCTTTAAAAAGTGTCTACACCAAGCTGGTCAATTTTGTAGACACATGTTTTTAAGCCCTCCGTACAGACTAAAACTGCAAACTGCTTTCTCCCCAAAAGCAGTGTATAAATGCCAGCAGTGTGTTTCTGTGTGTATAGGTAAAACAGCTTTTACAGAACAATGATGAAAGCTACCCAGTGAGGGTCAGTGGCTGTATGCCAGTCAAGTTAAAGGACCAGTGTGTAGTATTTTGTGCCATCTAGCTGTGAAGTGGCAGATTGCAACCATTTGAATACAGCTCAGCCTTCAAAGTGTTAGAGCCAGTGTTTGGGGTGTCTGTTCTTAGTTACTTTAGAAGTATGGTGGTTTAACATGGAAGAGTCCCTCTGTAGATAACCGGCTCATTCTAAGTTAATGATTCTTATATTCAGGTGGAGTGTATACACTAATAAAAACATTACCGTATGAATATAATATTCCATTTATGACAACAGAACATCCTAAATGTTACACACTGGACCTTTTTAAGAACGTTCTGTCACCTCAAACCTACTCTGTGATCACTCATTTTAAATGCCAATATAGCAGAATACACAGCACAGCTGTTGTCATTAACCCGTAATTATAAAAGAATGATTTTATCAGCCCCTGCAGTGCAGCAGCTTGGAAATGACTGCTGATTAACAGCTAGTATTTATGAGTTGTGATTAAATTACTATTTCGTTCCTTTGTAAGACAACTTAATCACATAAATATGTAAATGAGAACAACCATTGTGAATTTGGCTGCATTACAACACAGTGACGGTGATCGCAGAGAGCAGGAGAGGACTGCAGTCGGATGTGTGGCAGAAAAGTTGAGAATACAACTTTCTCTTTCACTCATTTAAAATGTCGAAATAGCTGAGCACATAGCTGTCTAAGACTAACTAACCTAAGATTCAGACACATAGCAAATGCACTGTAGGTTTTGAACTGTCTGTAAACATTGGTGTTTTTCACAGGTGGGTGACAGGAGAGTGGGGATCCTGCTCCGTCACATGTGGTAAAGGTCTACAACAGAGGGAGGTGGTTTGTGTTTACCACCTACAGAACGGCTCACTCATCCACACAAGGGACCTGTACTGCCAAGGAGGAAAACCTCCTCCTCTGCAGGGCTGCGAGGGCCGCCTCTGCCTTACTGTGTGGGAAGCTTCAGAGTGGTCCAAAGTACGTCACACGCACACTTTGCTGATGTCATGTTTGACTGCTCTGGCCCTAGATGTAAGGAGCGTTGTGTCCCAAATAGTTTCTGTTTGCACCTTGTCATACACCTTGCATGGCAGCCACTGCCATCAGTGTATGAATGTGTGTGAATGGGGTGTAGTGTACAGCTCATTGAGTGGTCGAAAGACTAGAAAGGCGCTATATAAGTATAGTCCATTTACCATCTTAAATTCTAAGAGCTCAAGAGGGAGGTATCATGTGCACTATTAAAAGCTTCTTCAGTGGGATTAGATCAGTGACACTGATTTACAGGCAATTTTCACACTCACTTTTCATCCAACAACACTTAACAAATCGTTGTCAGTATATATGTTAGGATGGGCAGACTGAGCAGGGCTGGGTGAGTAGCTCATCGCAGGCAGCTGCATAGATTCAGCTCTCAGCCAGGGAGGCAGGTAAAGGGGCCTCTGGTGGATCTGGAAGATAGAGCAGGGGTTGGTACCACCAAGCATGGGAATAAACTAGTGTGATGGTCTTAAATGGTTATGCTTTTGAGAAACACCTCCTCAGTTTAAGAATGTTTGCAAGATGGATTTTAGGGTCAACCAAGCCTTAAGCCACTAAGCAGATGTGTTTTGACTCAGGAAACATTTTATGGCTTGTTGAGGGAAAAACAAGGTTGCATATTTTAGTTAGCATCACTGACTAAGTCTTGAATTTAGAAATGTCATTAGACCATGAAAAAAAATATCTCTTGAAAGCTTCTGGGACCCGCAGGGGTCCCCAGGAAAAATGCAAATATTTTAATTTCACTATTATTGTATTAACTAGAAGTTAGCCCAATGAGAGACTGTATAAGAATGACACAGATAATCTGCCAATCTACAGTATATAGAGTTTTGGAATAAATCAAAATGGGGATCCCTGAGACTACATGTTATTAAATACAGTAACCACGGACTAATGTGTGTTTTTAATTTTGGGGTCCTTGCACCAAAAAAGTTGAGAATCCCTGCTCTAGGTGACATCTTCCTTCAAGTATTGTTAATTCCTCTTAGATCCTTAAATAAAATTTGCAGGCGTGGAGGTGTTTCAGTATAAATAGTTATTGCAATAAAGTCAAAACAAATGAAAGTAATTGTACACATATATCAACCAGTGCCTTTGTGTGTTTTTCAGTGGGCAATGCTGACATTTAGAGAGCAGGGTGGCTGATGTATAATGTCAATATCAAAACAAAGGAAAGTCATGTATAGTTTCATTATTCCATGCACATTACTATCCAATATACATGTTTCTCTTAGCCAGTAACATGTTGCTTTAGATGGAATTTTTATAAAACTACATTGGGTCATGCTATTGGTATTTAGGGGAGAGCGGGGTACACACTCCCAGAAGAGACTGGCTATTGCTCATTTTGTACACAATTCTGTTTTTCACCCATTTCTATGTATCCTTATTCTTCCGTCACCTCCTCCAGTGTTCATCAGACTGTGGTCAAGGTGTTCGAGGAAGGACAGTGACGTGTACAAACCCTCAAGGTCTTTGTGATCCTCTGTCCCAGCCCACTCAGGAGGAGCCCTGTGAGGACCACTCCAAATGTTACGAGTGGAAGACTGGAGACTGGTCCAAGGTAGGACTGTCTTCAAACCCACGGTTCACATATGGTTGAGACATAATTAAGGTTAGCAGGCTAGCATTAATCATTTCCATGAACACTCATGTACTCACTAAAGTAACTACTGAAATCAGAGAATACTAAGACATCACTAAAAAGTCCAACAGGTAAAGAAAGATGAGCCATCAGCCATAAAGCTGTTTTAGTGAATGAATATATCAGATTTATGAATATTGAAATTTTACTTTGTTCTTTTAACTGAGACCTGGTTTGTTCCCACGAGCACGTTTAAAGGATGATTTATCCCTAAATGAATTTAACTTCACCCCAGTCACATTTTAATATCTCCACTACATCCCCCGAGGCACAGCCGAGGAGTGTTTGGAGTTAGCCCAGCCATAATGAAATCGAGCGTTTTAAAATGGACCCTAAGAAACCAAACTAAAATTTATAATTCAATTTGAAAAGCCTTTGGGGGTTCTTAGTCCTTACTCATCCAAAGAACTAGGAAAAACTTCCCTGCCAGCCCCAGTCTATTGTTTATAGTTGAACTCTTGTTCTCGCGCTCCTGGACGCGTAACTCTGATTTTAATATCGGGAAAAAATTCTCAAGAGTTTTTTACTCACACCGTGTGATTATTTTAGCCCCATGCCAAAATCAGAGTTTAAAGATTAGATAATATTTGTCGTTATGCTTGATCTACCATTCCTTTCTTTTTTCTTGAGGCTAATTAGATAAAATAAACTTGTTAATTGCTCTAAGAATGAAGATAGCGATAAAGTTATTGTTGACAATCGACGACCTTAGTAATGCATTAAACTCTCATTTAATATGAAGCGGCATTTGGTCTATACTTTGCTTCTAGACAAGTGTAAAATAAACCAACTCATTGTTTTTTACATACCACTCTCTTGACCTCGTTCATATATATGGCAATGTATATTGAACACTCATTCTTTTTTCTATTTCAGTTTTAACTTTCAAAGAATGGGGGGAGTGACACATTCCCTTTGGCAATCCAAACCGGGTTTTGTGGCTCAGAGGGAGGTTAAATGTTGTTTCAGAAAACCAGAAACAAAAATAATGATAAAGGAAAAAGTTTTACTTGGTGAAGGCCTTTGGTGTCTGATCCCAGGTCCGAATAGATATTGGGAATTAGTAGGGATAGAGGCACATTTTGAACATCGCCACCCAGAAGCTAATATTGAGGTTTTTGGCAATTGGTGGTGGTGGGATGGGTGGCAAGGCTGCATAGACTGCAATGTAAAGTAGCAGACAGGGAGACAGAAGCTTTCTGCTACAGATCCATCATATGCTCTGAGGAAACAAATCCCAAGTTGAAATCCATTTTATAATCACTCAGAGGTGGAGGCACCAAAGTGAGCCAAACATAGAATGAAACGCGTTCGTCCTTCCTGCCCTGTGTGCTATTAGAAGCATTTGGTTCCACCACCCATTGCAGAAGTTAGGTTCAGCTGAACGAAAAAAAAAACACAGAGTTGAGAGTATCAGTTGTAAACTCAGAGCTAAAAGTTAAATGCCTTTTTAGTCTTAACTCGTTCCGGCAGTTACCTTCACTTTTCACAATGTGGAGCCAGCGTACGCGTGTTAAAGTTATTTATTGGGGGATGCCAGTTGTAGTTGGCTTTTAAGCGATGCTGTAATAATTGTCAGTGCAAAATGAACGTTCCAGCACTGGCTCAATGGTTTGCATTCACAGAACTGCAAACAGTTGGGTGGCACACTGTGCAACACTGAGAACGATATGGACAGAATCT